AGGGCCTATTTATTCCCACCTTTAACATCTAAAATTAAATATTTGCGACTAAGTGATTTGTTGCCAAATATCACATCAACGACTAATTTATTTGGTTGCTAATCTTTGCGCGGACACAATTGGCAAACAAGAGATTCTGCAATAAAATTATGGTACAGAAACAATTATTTACAACAGCAATAGTTGCTAATTAGATGCAAATATTTATTAATTAATTTGTAATATTTTTTATTAGTTTACAAAATAATACAATTACCGAAATCCAAGTTTTTGACAATAATTACAAAGGGCCCATGGTACATTGGCAACGAATTATTTTGTGCATATTACAATTAGTTGCAAAACTCTGTATAGCAACTAAAATGTATTTAGTCGCTAAATTGATGAATTTTTTTTAACCAACTTTCCCGTAAATGAAAAAATATTATTTTAATTTGTGACTAAAATTACTGTTGCGTAACTAATTAGTAGTTGCATATCTTCTTTGGCAACTAAGATTTAGTTGGCAAATGTATGGTAATTTTGAGCGCCCCAAGTTCCCGCTTGAAATAAATTATCTTCTTTTGGCAACTAAGATTTCATGCCAAATGTATGGTAATTTTGAACGCCCTATGTTCTTGCTTGAAATAATTGAAATTTTGGGTATGTTATTTTGGGCAACTAAAGTTATAGTTGTTAATAGATTTTTTTGCAACCACAAAGTTAGCTACTATAATTGTTTATTAAAATAATATACTACTAGTAACCAAATCAATTTTATTGTTTGATTCTACTTTTGTTGCCTACATTACCCCATGAAGGTAACTTTTTTTTTATTTTTAGCAAGTAAAGCCATTCTTTATAGATGGTATTTCAATTTTATATTTGATTTTCAATCCATTTCTTCACAACATTTGCTTTATTTGTTTAAGCATTTGTTATTAGTGACGTTCTAATGGGTGGCTTTAATTCGTAATGGGTGATTTTATTTTTGTCTTCTCTTTCATATACACTGACACATGGTATTATAATTATAAGAGTGCTTTAAATTCGTTATTGTTATTAATAATGAATTGTGTTTGATTTTTTTTTGTCTTCTCTTTCATCTGACATTACCATTTTTCCCTAAAACTTTTGCTAACTGCTATTTCACTCATTTGTACAAACCCTCATAAAAAGTAACAATTTTTCCTTAAATTTAAAAGTAAACCAAATTGAAAAGTCCCTAAATCCTTACAATTAAAGAAAACAAAACCCCAACCCGGTTTTAGGGAACTAACATAACATAAAATCAAAAATAAAATAAAATAAAATAAAAGGGTAAGCAATTTTGCACAAAAATTTTTGAAACTTAAATTAAAAAAAAAAATTAAAAAGATGTAAACCCACTTATACAATCCCAAACCATTTTACCTAAAACGCAAACACTCTCTACTTCTCCACTCCGTCGCATCTTCTTCTCCATTTTTCCAACACATATAAACATTACAAAACCTACTGCTTTACTTCTGAACCAGAAAAGAGGCAGAGAGTTTTAGAGATTAAAATAGGTGATAAATCTTAAGATTGGTGTGTGTATACAATAATGTTGTGTTGATGAAATCTCTGTTTCTTTAACCAACAAAGGCTGATTTTCTTCAAAGAAAGATCCAAAAAGTGCTTTTGCTTCTGAAACCACAAATGAAGACCAGGAATTTGGTGTTGCTGATGTTGTGTAACGTTATAGCTCCTATTGTTCTTTATACTAATATATCTCTGCCTCTTTCAAAGCTTCTTCTTGTATGTTCTTTTTCTCGTCACATTAATTTATTTCCTATTCAATCTTCATACCTTGCTCTTCTCCTCAATTGCATTTTTCTGGGTTCGTTTCGTTTTTGCTGCTAGAAACCAATTTCTTGAAGATCTTTCAGTTTTGTAGGTTTTTTCAACTTTCCTTTTTCACCCCTCGTCTTTCAAACAGATAAGATATTAAGTTTCAATCTTTCTTCAATTTTTCTCTTCACCTGTCGGTGGTGATGCCAGCCATCTAACTCTTCTTCCCCAGGCTTGTATCCTTGTTGCATATAGGAATCTTCCACAACCCGTATTGAAATATTTGTTCAGTTGCTTTTTCATTCTTTCTCATCGTTTGTGTGGTGAATCTAGAACTGTGTTGGGAAGTTTTCAGTACTTGTATCTTATGGATTAAATTTGCTGTATGAGAGCAATCAACGTCAATAGCATAAATTAGCTAGTTTTGTCCTAGTCAATTATAAATTAGCATCAATTTGCTGTATTGCAAACTTGCTAACTGATTAACATTGGATAAAGGGAACTGAAACACAAGTAGAACTACATTTTCCTTTGGCTAAGATGCTAGAGGAGATATGAGAAAAAAGGGAACTGAACAAACAAATGGAAGAATCGAATACTGCCGCAAGATGAGAATGATGCTGAGTGAGAAAACGCAAGAGGTAGCAATTTGAATTGTATATGCTAACTTATGTGCATTATAGCCTAACTAATATGGCCTCTGCTTAATTGCTTTTATGTGGTTCACTTGATCAGTGAATTTCCTTCTATAGAAGTATATGTATTCTGTCGAAGATAGGTGCACAAAAATTATACTTTGTTGATGGCGAAAGGTGTTATTTTTACATTGTGATGAGAGAGTACACTCAATTTGTGCCCCGCTGCCTTCTGTTTACCTCTTCTTGGCAAGAGCTTTCGCCTTTCTACTTCTGCATTGGACTACTTCTGTTGCATTCTTACCTACGCATTTGGCAACATGTTTGTCACTGTGAGGCATTGATGATCTGATCTAATTATGGCGTTTCAAGTTGTGATCTTGCAGTTTACTGCTTCCTTGATAGATGACATTTTATGACGTTACTAGATCTAGTAACTGTGTTCAGCGTTAATTGATCTTGAAGGTGAGACTATGACTGTGAATCTTGCAATAACCAACTCAAAAGATATTGAAGACAAGGGTGAGACATTATGACTACTAATAGCATAGATTTTGTTTTTTATTATTACTATTGTTATTAGCTAATCTTATCAGCATTAACTGAAATGTTTTTGTTTAATTAGAATAGTTAAAGTTATAGCAAGTTTAGTGCTAGTTGCATGTCATTGACTGAGGATAAATTATTATCTTGTTATATATAATGCAGTGTAAATTAAAATGTTGTTATTTTTGGATATCTTTTAAAAGTGTTGTGATATGAGGAAATGTTGTATATAGCAGTCGGAAATGATTCAAGTTGCAGGTACCCTTTATCAGTGCATAAAAATATCATTTCTGTTGTATGTTGTGTCATGTGAGCCAACCGAATAGAATTATTGAACTTATTTTTTTAATTTTCAATATATGTGTCCTTGCTCTAACAAATTTTGGTCACCGAAAGATACATTCGTCCACTAATAAAATAGTCACGAAAACCTTTTAGATTTCATATTATGGTCTAAAATGATAGTATTAACCATAAATTTGGTCATCAAAAGATACATTCGTCCACTAATAAATAGTCGCGAAAACCTTTTGGTTTCACATTCAGCGTCTAAAATGATTAGATAACCACTAAATTTTGGTCACCAAAAGATACATTCGTCCATTATAAATAGTTGCGAAACCTTTTGGATTTCACATTCAACGTCTAAAGACTATAATAGTCACTAAATTTTGGTCACCAAAAGATACATTCGACTACTAATAAAATGGTCGCGAAAACCTTTTGGATTTTACATTCAGTGTCTAAAGTATTACAATTAATCACCAAATTTTGGTTACAAAGATATATTCGCGACTAAAAATAGTAGTGCGAAAACTTTTTACGAAATTATCCTTACATTTTAGCATCTAATTTTTGTGGCATTCGCGACAAATATTAGTCACTAAAAGGTACATTTTGCAACTAATTGATTAGTCGCGATAACCATTTTACCAAATTACCCTGAACAATTAGCGTCTAAGCAGGGGACTATTTTAACCAGCAATTAGCGACTAATTGCTAGTTGCTAAAAAAAATTTTCCGCGTCTAACCAAAATTTAGACATGCATACTTTCTACGACAGCAATTCCGCAACTGTGGCGACTACGAAATTTAGACGCGAAATAGTGTTAGCGTCTAAATTTTACTTTTGCGTCTAATTTTGCTAGACCCGGAAGGCATTTTTCTTGTAATATATAGTCCTTAGAAATCTAACCAAACATGGGACCAAGACAAAAATCATTTAAAATAGTTCAATCTTAAACTTGTCTGGACCCCAAGGTAATCCAAATGTTACCTTAGGGGCCGTTTTGTTAGCGATAATAAAAAATTATTCTGGTAATCTATTCTAAAATTCGGATATTACCAAGATTGTCGCCCCCGTCAGTAGTCGCCAAAAAGTTGCATGACTGGCCTAATCTGGCTGACCATGCTCCAATCTGGTAGTTTCCTGCCAAATCCATGTATCTGGCCCAAAATAAATGGCCAGATCTATAGATCTGCCGTTTACGGCTAGATCGACATACGATCGACCAAATTGACTGGTAATCATCCTAGGTGATTGGGGGTATTTTGTTAAATTTTAAATTTTTATTGTAGTTAGGGTGTTTTAGCTAAATTCTGAAATGTTAAGGGGTTAAAATAATAATCTTAATAATAAAATAATAATATTATTATTATTATAAAAAGGGCAATTCAGTAAAAAGATCTCCTCGAATTTTTTTATTCCACCCAACCAAACATTAGTTATTTATACTTACTAATCTAACCAAACATATATAATATAACATTTCTCTTAATCTTCAAGGTAATTTATCTCACGAGTAATTTTATATTTTTAACAATATAACATTCTTTGAACTAAACGGCCTCAAAGGGTGTAATGTTATCCATACAACTAATCAATTCATTTACAACCCCCACTTATAAGTATGTATGAATATAAATACTTATTATCAACATAATTAATATTTATTAATTTAAAAAATCATTTGACAATAATATGCTAGTTAGTGGTGCGTGTGAAGTAATATCCCCATGGTATCATAAATCTTATCTGAATTTACAACTTCATATTAGGAAGAAATTCAATATTTTTAGATTCTACAATTTTTGGTTTAATTTTCTTTCCTTTTAGAAATGCATGAAAATGCCACTAAACATATATCACATGACATGAAAAATGCTACCATAGTTTTCCGAGCACAATAATTTCCTTTTTGAATTTTATCAAAAGGGGAAAAAACAAGTATACATATATCTTTTGGTGGTTGCTAAAGAACCCCTCAAATGCAGTCACTGACTGAGGGGGCAGATATGACAGCACTTTGAGGAAGCCCTTCTTCGACTTTATACCAATTTGGAGAATTAATATCTAAACACAACATGAGTATTTGCTCTGAGTTTGCTTTGAACCATTATTATTCACAAGGCTTACCCTGTTGATACTTAAATCAGCTTTGTAGGAATCTGAATTCAAAACTTTCCTACTTACATTGTTATAGATCTCCCAAATCACAATCTCGAAAGCCGTTTCAACGTTTGTAGAATCGAGTGCAGATGTCTCAATAAAGAACAATCCCTCTGCTTCCGCAAGACTCTTTCCTTCTTCCACACTCACTTCCCTGATGCCCTCCAGATCACATTTGTTTCCAACCAACATCCTTGCGACCGTTGTATCCGAATGAGCTGCATTATCATTCCAAGAACAGTGCAACAATATTTAGAATGCCAAACAATTCAGGTTAGTGTGCTTCACAATAGGACACCGAATACACATTTGGTAAAAGCTATACAAGAATGTGAAATAGTTGTCGACAAGTATACCGAGAGAAACATGACCCTAACAAATCAATGGATGGAGCAAAGAACCAGATTCTCATCAATCAATCATTGATTACCAAATATTCAGCACTAACCACATACGGTTGTGCATTGCTATGAAAGGTTTAATAACAGAGAACCTAGCTATATTTGTTATTAATTCTGCTCCAGGGAAACAACCATCTCCTTTGACAGACCCTAAAAAACAATTAAGATTTACAAGACATAAATTGTGGCTAATCTTGGAAATGTTTTCAGACTTGCTCTTCCTACATTAATTTTCACTTCCTTGGTCAAGTTGAATATCTTTATTTTAACTATAAACCGTGCCTATATAATATATTCTTGGGAATTGTCAGTACTTGGTTTAACATTTTCATCTTTATATTGCCATCAGCCATAAACTCAGTGACAGGTTCAGCATAACAGATTCCATACCTAATGCTTCAATGTCATCAGGAATTACATACGCACAGAATCTTAACCTTTAACTACGCGAAATCTAACTTTTTGGATGTAAAATAATCTAGGATCATGATGCCTTTTCAATACCTGTTCATTATTGGACCGAAATGGAAATTGTCATTAGTATTTAGATTAGAAAAATTAATAGCTTAGGAAAGAAATTGTCCCACAAAATTTAGTTATGTTACTCCTGCCCCTGCCAGCATTGACTTTATTTAAAAGCAATTCCTGTTTCTTTAAGTTCTTACTTATAAACCGTAAACATAATAACCTTTCCAGGTTTGTACTGATTCAATTACAAATCCAATTAAAGAGTGAGAATATGCATATACTTAAAGTGAGAAAGACTTAATGCACCTTGAGCTTTTGGCCCAACGCTGTCAAGATTCCAGCGTTTCAAATACCCTCCTCAAACTAACAAATGCTAATTAAATTCTAACTTTGAAATGACATTTTTTTACAAATGTTAACATCTATTAGAATCAGGGGTCTATCCTAGTAGTTTAAATTGCAGGACCCCAGCCCCGGGGGGTAAATGCAATATCTACATACTACTCAAATACCCACCTGTCTTCCTCAAATTAGAGCATATAATTCTTACAAAACAAAATTTAAACTTGAGGCACAAAGTCAAAAACAATAAACAGATTCTTTTAACAATCCAGCGGAAGACAACCTAGTGCAGTTTAAGATGCTAAAGTTTACCAATTTGATGTCCTATAAATTCGCAGAATTAGAAGAATCACTTACTGCTGAGTTCACCAAGCCACCTGGAAACACTCTGAAAGGTAGAGCGGCGACTGATATCGTAAACAAGAAGAGCGCCAAAAGCTCCTCTGTAATAAGCAGAAGTAACGGCACGAAAGCGTTCTTGTCCAGCAGTATCCCAAAGCTGAGCCTTGACTTCTTTGCCATCAATTTCCAAGCACTGCGTCTGAAACTCCACGCCAATGGTGGCTTTTGAATTTTGATTAAACTCATTGCGTGCGTATCTGGAGAGTAAATTGGATTTGCCAACAGCAGAGTCTCCGATTATTACAATCTTGAAAAGGTACTCTTCTCCTCCTTCCTGGTCTGTCATTTCAAATGAAAATGGAAGCCTAACACTAACACATTTGTGGACGTCTTCAAATCACTGCAAATACTGGTTGTGCCAGTAGAAACTACGTCCTTCAATCCCACGCTTGCTGTCTAGCGCGTAACTCCAAACTTTTTTTATTAAAATATAACATCACTTAATTATTATTAATTATTTGAGTTTAATAATAAATAATATTAAGTCCACAATTTAATCTCATAATCTGTAACATGTGATACTGCATCTTTGGTTAGTTCCCAAAATTATAAACAAAGAATTTTTGAACAAAAAAAATTATAAGATTTATAAAAGGAAAAATAGGTATCTATTTAGGATTTTATAAAAAGCGTAAAAAAAAAAAAAGTTGAAAGGCGCGTGGTTGGGAAGTTTGAAATTTAGTAGAAACATAATGACGCGTGACATTGCGAAAACACGCGTTAACATGCAGAGGTATAGACAAACATATCACTATTCATGTCGCGCATGTAGTGCTTAGTGCTTACTTTGATTATGACTTGCACGATTTCCTTAATTATTTATTTAACATTATTAATCAGATTATGTGTCATGAAAGGAATCGCAAAACCGTTCTTTGAAAAAAAAAAATCCTCATTGTAGATAGAGATAGAACAAATAGGTCGGGGTAAATGGGTTAATCCTAATCTGATCCATAATAAAGAGGGTTTAAATCGGCCCACCTTGATGGTGGGTTAGGTTGAACCCAACCTGCCAGCAATCCCTGGGTGGACTGTGTTACAAAATAGCAACCCAACGGCCCGCAGGTTGCTATTTTGTCCTCTCAACAAGAGGCCCGCCAATCCGGTGGGTTGCATGCAGGTTGGCCCGCTAGGTTGCCTGTTGCCAACCTGCCTAGGTTGACCCGCAGGTTGGCCGAAAAATAAATTAAAAAAAAAAAGTAAAATTAATTTATTTTTTTAGATTACCCTTTTACCCTTGAATATAGCCGTTTTATAGCCGTTGGAGGAGTCTTTTTCGTCATTTTCTTTCCCCATTTTTTTCTATAAATTGGCCCTAAACTCTCATATTTTTCTCACAACTCAAATTCTCTCATTTTCTCATATTCTCTATTCTAATCTCTATTCTCTCAACTCTCAAGTCTCAATTATTCATTTATTCTCTTAATATTTTTGTTATCAATTTGCTCTTATTTTAATTTTTATTAGGTTTTGCAATTTTCAATTCATATTTCCAATTTCCATATTCCAAATCTCTTTCTTTAATTTTTATTTCTTCTACATCATTTTTTTTTTCAACTACAAGTCTACAATGGATAGATATTTCTCTCCCATCAATTTCAATGAGGAAGAAAACTATTATCCTAGTCCTAGTCCCGCTGATTTTACTATGAATGCAGGAGATTCAAATAGTCCCGCTGTCCCAATCCCAGTCTCAGAATCCGATACACCTCAAAATATGCCGTCGATTCCAACAGCGCCCGGTGGTTCTAGAAGTCGTCCTCGTAATCGTCGTCCTCGTCCAACTTCATCTCAAGCTGAGGCGGGATCATCAACTGCCGTCGAAAGCGAAGACAGACACACATCAGACGTTTGGGCGCATTTCGACAAGTTTTACGAGACAGAAAATGGCGTTCAAGTCAAGAAAGCAAGATGCAAATATTGTGCAAATGTTTATAAAGCTGATTCAGGTAATGGTACTAGTACTTTAAAAAGGCATGCTAATAAACATATTAATCAACATGGAAATAGAGAAAGCAATCAAACTCAAATAACTAATATGGGTACTACTTGGCGTTATAATTCTGATGTATATAGGGAACAGTTAGCTTTATATATTGCTGCATCTGATCAACCTATTAATATGGCAGAAGATAAATATTTTGAAAGATTTGTTCAAAATTCATTTTTTCCAGGATTTAAAAGTTATTCTAAAACTGCAACTAGAAATGATTTAATAAAATTGTTTAAAAAAATGAAATTAGAATTAAAAAATAAATTTCATACTTGTCATATTAGTGTGGCTTTAACTGCTGATATTTGGAGTGGTAGAGCTAAACAAGATTATATTTGTGTGACTAGTCATTATTTTGATAATGAATTTAAATTAAATAAATCTTTATTAGGATTTAGATTAATGGATGTGGATCATAGTGGTTTAGAAATCTATAATAAAATTATTGAAGTTTTAGAAGATTATGATATTATTGATAAAGTGATAAGTTTAACTTTAGATAATGCAAGTTCTAATAGTAAAGCTATAGAATTTTTTCAAAATAATTATCTTTTATATAATAATTTGAAGTTTTTTCACCAACGTTGTGCATGTCATGTTATTAATTTAATTGTGAAAAGTGGTATGAAAACAATTAAAAAAAATATTGATAGAATTAGGGAATCTTTAGCTTGGATTACTGGTAGTAATAAAAGAAATGCTGAATTTCAAGAAGCTTGTATAAAATCAAATATGTCTCCTAGAACTTTTGCATTAGATATGCCTGTTAGATGGAATAGTACTTATTTAATGCTTGATTCATGTTTACCTTATGCTAATATAATTAGTTATTTTGTAGCAAATAATAGAGGTCCTCATCATTTGGTAGAAAATGATTGGAAGATAGCTAAAGTATTTCATTCTTTTCTCAAATGTTTTTACCAAGCCACTTTACAACTTTCTGGTGTGTATTACCCTACTAGTCCATTGGTAATACATGCAATTATAAAAATTTCCGAGTTATTTACAAAAAACAAAGATGATGAAATTTTACATGCACCAATAAAGGCAATGGAAAATTTTTTTTTGAAATATTGGAGACCCGTTCCTTTTCTTTATTGTTTAGGTGCTATATTTGATCCTAGAATTAAATTAGCACGTTTAGAAAATGGTCTTGACAATTTAAGTGAAAATTTACAAAACGAATCATATATCAATCAAATAGGAGAGGTAAAAAATAGTCTTTTCGAAGTATATTTCCAATATGAAAACAGGTATGGGAACCCGCAGTCGCAAAGAGGCGAAATATCCAGAGAAGCTGTAGCAGAAGAAACAAATGAAGACTTATTCTCTTGGAATGCACTGAATAGGCCGAAGAGGACCCGAGTCCGAAGCACAGCCTCCTCTTCAGACGCACCACCACCACCAACAACAACAACTAATATGCTGTCCTCCATGGAGTCGCAGAGTAATGAACTTCAACAATATTTGGCAACCCCCGAAATGTTTTCAACAGGTCACTTTGATCTCTTAGAGTATTGGAGAGCCAGAAAATGTATTTTTCCGGTATTATCAAGACTTGCCTTGGATGTTTTCGCTGTTCCTGTCTCAACCGTCTCATCCGAACAAACATTTAGTGCAAGTGGAAGGATTTTAAATGAAAGGAGGACTAAACTTGCTCCAAAAATGATTGAAGTCCTCACATGTCTTCGAGATTGGGAACGATCGCGCCATCAAGATCAATACGAGGTTATCGACAATACTTTAGTAGAATCATTTCAATTTTGTAATATAGATGATACAGATGAGGGAGGTCCTAGTGAACCACCCCCAAATTAGTTGTTTTGTAAAATGTAATTTGTAAATTAATTGTCAATTATTGCACTCTTTTTTCTTTACCAAGTTTTTCTCCCATTGGGTTTTTCTTAGTGAGGTTTTTAACGAGGCAATAATTGTTGTAATTTCTTATTTTATTTTTTGATAAATGAATAAGTCTAATTTTTCTTATATTACAATTTTATTGTATTAAAATTGAATTAATATTTGAAATGTTAACAAAAAAAAAAAAAAATTGAATTGAATTGAATTATTAATATTTGAAAAGTTAACTAAAAACAATTATATTTATAATTATTCGTTTGAAAAGTTAAATTAAAAAAACAAAAAAAATAAGAAAATCGGGCTAACCTGGCCTAGACCGCCGCCTAACCTGGCGGGTTAGGGTTGGCGGGCCGGGTTGGGCTAGCCATTTTCTCCATAATGGCAGGCCTAACCCGGCCTGCCTTTGTTGGCGGGCGGGTTAGGCCCGGCTCACCAACCTTTATAACCCGTCGCGGGCCGGGCCGGGTGAGTTACTTTTCCACCTTTAATTGTGGAAAACTCTAAAAACTCATAAATGAGTTTCTTTAAGACACTTCGCCTTCAAATAGCCCGCCTTTTAGAGGTGGATAGTGGACACATGTCAGCCATTCGATTGGACCTTGAAGAATGAAACCTTTCATTTTCCGCCTCTTGCATGCCACATGTGCATCAGTGGCAGACTCAGGGTTTTTGCTCAAGGGGGACCCCATGGCTCCGCTACTATTTGTCAATCAACTAGTGAAAACATAAGAAAATAACATCAAATTCACAAGAAAATATAAGAAAATTTTTACATGGAAAAACCTCTTTAATATGAAGAGATAAAAAAACCACGGGAATCTAACAATCCACTTAAATCCAATATAATCAAAAGAGTTTACAACAACCACAAATCCACCAAAAATATTCTACACAAATTTAGAGCTCAATCACAACTCTAACAAAAGTAAAATACACAAAGGTTTATAAAGAAATGGATTACAATCACTCCAAATCCAGATCCAAACGTTAACATTCTAGCTCAATCATCTAGATTAAAGATTCACACATCCTCTGCGTATTAACCCAAAAATCAAGTTAGAATGGTATACCTAAAGATCTAAATAATATGAATATTGATTATTTAAAGATGAAAGCAAGTTAGAATAGTATACTTGAAGATCTTTAATTTAACACAATTTTCCGCTTCATTATGTTCTGAAAATGTTTAATGATATCTTCATTTTGAATTGTAGCAAAAACTTTCTTTTCAATATAAATTACTAAGCAATTGTTCATCCACTCGTCTCCCATTAAATTACGTAAAGTAATCTTAACAAGATTCATTGTAGAGAACACCCTTTCAATTGTTGTAGTAGCCATGGGCAAAACCAATGCTAATTTAATAAGCAAGAAAACTTTGTCGTAAGCAACATCCTTCTTAAACTCAACCATTTTTTTTTTGCAAGATTAGC